TGAGGGCCGTGGCGGGTGTATTATTTTGTTTTTTTTGGATGTGTTACAGGTGGCCGAAGTGCAAAGGCTGTTAGTGGACTCAAGGACTCTCCAAAACTCTTGACACTGTTCAATGTGACCGGCGGCACTACTGCTTGGATTAAAGCTGGATTTGCAGTTGAGCATTAGCTACACTGTGGAGATCCATTTGGAGCTCATTTTCCAAATTGGAGCCATTGATTGACTGTCATCAAGCATTGAGAGATTAAAAAAGGGGGGGAAATACTCAACCCCCCCCCCCCCCCCCCCCCCCCCCCCCCGCAAAAAAAAAAGGAGGGGGAGGGGGCAAAGGTAACAGCAGTCACAGGGAGCTGTTGGCAATTGGTACGATTACGTCGATTAGTCTTTGGAAAAGCCTTTTCAGCTCTGTGCATGGATGAATTACAAATTTGAAATTTGCCCTCTGAAAAGCCTGCAAGGTTGATGACAGCCATTGACAGGTACACAACAGCTGCCTGCATTGTTCACCCGTGCTAAAAGGACTTCTTCTTCTTCTTCTTCTTCTTTTGTTTTGTTGAAGGACTCCACCTGTTTTTTTTTTTTTTTTTTTTTTTTTTTTTCCCCTAACAAGACTCCACCATTTCACACAACTTCAGAAGATAAGGGAAAAAAAAGAAAAAACGGCAGCTAGGGAAAGTCGGCAAATATGACGACTGGCTGAGACAGCCTGTGTCGTTCTTTGTCTGTCATCAAGACCTACTTCGGGGCTTTCAGCCGTGAAAAACTTTGAGGTTTCCTGATTCGGGAAGCAACGAGAATTGGCAGGTGGCTTCGTGTATACATCTGTGTGCGAGTTGCGCGCCCTATTAAAGCCTGAGTGCCCCAGCAGGGGTGCCCAGGCTTTTTGGGGACGAAGCTAGTTTTTGCTACCGGCTCTCCCTGTCGTCCACCATACCCCACCCTTCTGTTGACGTCAACCCTAATTGCTATTTTCAAGTTCAAACTGAAGAGAGGCCTTAGAGGGCCTTCTTCTTTCTTGCTTTCTTTCTTTCTTTCTTTTTTTTTTTTTTTTTTTTTTTTTTTTTTCCTAAGACAAAAGCTGCTTCTATTCTGGGGGCCAGCAGTCCGGTTACTTATCACCGGCAAGGATGTTTGTTCATCCAAAGAAGGGGGGAGATCAGATGAGATAAGGGGAACAGCCCAGCCCTTGTGGCATCGATTGTCTATCGAGGGGGGACCTGCTAAAGGGGAGCCACCCCCCCAAAGCATGGTCTTTCTCTGGGGGCCACCCTGCTGGCCAGGAGGCTTCCTAGCAGCACCCAGACACGCAGCAGGGGGCCCCTCAGAGAGACGGGGTGTGGGGAGCGGCCTCCTCTGTGCAGTTCCTCAGGCCGTCTATCAAACTCCAGTTTTGTTTTTGTAATTTGTTCTAATCTTTTTTTTTTTTGTCCTGAGGGGACCCTCAGAGAGACTTTGGTATCCTCACTTCCTACTTGCTCTAGAGTTTTCTTTTTGTAATTTGTCCTAATGATCCTAATCTTTTTTTTTTTTTTTTTTTTTTT